TCAGCCGTCTAGGTAACTGGAACTAAAGGTGTGTGCTACCACACCCAACTAACTTTTTGATTTTTTTGTAGAGACGGGGTCTCACCAAGTTGCCCAGGCTGGTCTCAAACCCCTGAGCTCAGGCAATTCTCTTGCTTTGCCCTACCAAAGGGTTGGGATTACAGGCTTGAGCCACCATGCCCTGCCAATATTTTCCATTTTAACCATTCTAGTGGATATGTTGTAGCATCTAACTGTGGTTTTAATTTGGATTTTTCTAATAACTAAAGATGTTGAATACCTTTTTAATGTACTTATTCGCTACCTGAATATTTTCCTTGATGAAATATCTTTTCAAATTTCTTGCACATTTTTTCGTTGGGTTGTCATCTTATTCAATCGTAAGAATTCTTTTTTATACTCTAGAATCAAGTTATCTATCTGACATATGTTTTGCAAATGTTTTCTCCCAATATACAGCTTGCTTTTTTGTTTTTATAAGTGTCTTTTGAAGAGAAAAATATTTCATTTTTTATAAAATCCAAGTTATTAATGTTTTTCTTTTATAATTTATGCTTTGTACTATTTAAAACTTATTTTGCCAAGCCCAAGAATCATGAGTTTTCTTCTCTAAGTTTTATAGCTTTAGTCTTGACATTTAGGCCTATGATCCAATTCGAGTTAAGTTTTGTATGTATTTTGAGGTATATAAGGGTTAAGATTCATTTTCCACTGTTAATCTTGGGGTTACTTTTCTGTCTAACCACTCTCTTGATGAGTTTATCTGGTCATGTGGTTGTAAATATCATCTATATGTTGATAGCTCCCAAATTAAAACTCCAGCCCAGATTGCTAGTAAGAAAGTTATCTCAGTCTTTGCCATTTTGGAATATGGCAACTTCATTCTTTCGGTTGCTTAGGGCAAAAGTCTTGGCCTGATCTTTGACTGTTCTTTTCCCTGACACCCTTCCATCTTAATCTGTCGTCACTTCCATTGATTCCCCCTTCACATTCAATTCAGAATCCCACCCTTCTCTTTTTTTTTTTGAGTTGGAGTCTCACTCTTGTTGCCTAGGCTGGAGTGCAGTGGCACACTCACGGCCACTGCAGCCTCGACCTGCTGGGCTTAGGCAGTCCTTCCACCTCAGCCTTCCAAGTAGCTGGAACTATAGGTGCACACCACCACGCCAGACTAGAGAATCCCACCCTTTTCACCATCTCCTCTTCTGCCACTCTGGGTTAATTATCCTCCATGGTCTCACCGAGTCATTTTTGTAGCATTTCAACAGGCCTCTCTGTTCCCCACTTTGCGTGTGTATTCAATTAATAGTGGCATTTTCTGATCAGAACCTTCCAGTGGCTTTTTATCTCACTCAGAGGAGGAACCAGAGTGTTTATCATGGTATCTGAGGTCCTACACCATTTAGTCTGCTGTTACCTATCTGCCTGTCCCTTCCCACTGCAGCAGCCACACAGCCCTCGTCAGACCCTTTGTACTTGCTGTTTCCTCTATCTGGAATGCTTTTCTTCCAGATAACTTAAAGCTTATTCCTTTACATCCTTAGAGCTTTATTTGACTGTCACTTCCATGAGACTATTCTAATCCTATTTAGATTGCACTCCCTTCTCCGTGCATACAGTTCATGTACCCCATTGCTTGTTTCTTTTCTGTAATATGGATTGCTGTCTGACATCCTGGGCATTTACTTGCTTCTCTTCCTTCCCTAAATAGAATATAAACTTCTTGAGAACAAAGATGTTGGTCTTTTTTGTTGATTGTTTGCATTCCCAACACCTAGAGTAGTGCCTGACGTGTAACAGACTCTCTGGACTATCCACTAAATGAATAGATGTAAGTCCCATTTTAGATAAGGTTTGTTTGTTTGTTTGTTTTGCCTCTGACTATAAAGTGGGGATGTCTGTAGTTGATCAGAACATTGCAAACAGTGTAGGTCCTCAAGAAAGTTATATAGACTTTATCTTTGATAACGTTTCCCTTCTTTAATAATAAGTGTTAAATGCATTCAAAAGAATGCTTAACATATAAAATACAAAGAGCAACAAAAATAACAGCCATATTCCCATCACCCAATTAAGAAACATAACACGAGTCACACTTCTTAGCCTCCTTCGTGCTTTCTTTCTACCACATCCTCTCTCTTCCCTCAATAGCCCTGTTCTGATTGTGTGTTATTGTTCCTGTTGGTGTTCTTTATAATTTTATGCCATTCAGTTTGTATATGCTTTTGAACTTTAGAAAAATGGAATCCTCCCGTGGCTGTCCTCTGTGCTTGCTCTGCTGTGCTCTGCCTGGTCCCTGAGGCCATCCATATGGTTACTGGAGCCACAGTTCACTTGCTTTTACTTCTGTGTAGGATCCCCACGCGTGACGAGACCGCAATTTATCCATCCTCCTGTCAGCCCAGATCTGGGGTGGGTTTCTTACTTTATCAGCTGCCCCCAAAAAAGGAAAAAACAGTGCTGCTGTGATCATAATTACACATGTCTCATGGGTCACACAAGCAAGTTTTCTAGGGCAAATTCCTAGGAGTTAAATTGCTCATCCAGGCCAGGCACAGTGGCTCAAGCCTGTAATCCCAGCACTTTGGGACACCAAGGTGAGAGGATTGCCTGAGAGTAGGGGTTTGAGACCAGCCTGGGCAACTTGGCAAGACCACATCTCTACAATAAATTAAAAAATGAGCCAGGTGTGGTGACACATGCCTATGGTTCCAGCTACTTGAAAGGCTGAGGCAGAAGGATTACCTGAGCACAGCAGGTCCAGGCTGTGGTAGCCGTGAGTGTGCCACTGTACTCCAGCCTGGGTGACAGAGTAAGAATCCAATTCAATCAATCAATCAATAAAATAAGTAAGATAGATAGATAGATAGATAGATAGATAGATAGATAGCTCCTCCATAAGGCGTATGTGTCTTTCATTTTGCGAGTTAATGCCAAATTGTTTTCAAATACAGTTGTATATATTTATATACCAGTGAGCGGTATATATGAGTTTTTATTGTCTTAGGTTTTCCTAATGTGGAGGGTATAATACGGTATGCCATGTTAGTTTTAATTTGCATTTTTCTATTTCTTAGTGAGGTTGGATATTTTTTCAGATGTCATTTGCCATTTCTGTGAGATGGTTGTCCGTGTTATTGGCTTTTATAAAATGGGTCTCTTTTCGGTGTGTGGAACCTTTTCACATATATAATTATATATCCTTTGTCAGTGACATATAATGTAGATACTTTTTCCCAGCATGTAGCTTATCTTTTTTATTATTATTATTGTTTTAGGAGGGTGTTGGAGTCTCACTCTTGTCGCCCAGGCTAGAGTGCAGTGACATGCTCACGGCCACCCCAGCCTCCATCTGCTGGGCTTAGGTGATCCTTCCACCTCAGCCTTCCAAGTAACTGGAACTACAGATGCATGCCACCACACTCGGCTAGTTTTTTTGTTTATGATTTATTGTAGAGGCTGGAGATAGCACAGGCTCACCAAGTTGCCCAGGCTGGTCTCAAATCCTCGGGCTTTGGCAATTCTCTCACCTTGGCCTCCCAGAGTGCTGGAATTGCTGTCTGAACCATTGTACCTGGCCCTTATTATCTTTTGATGAATAGAAATTTGAACTTTTAATGTAATTTAATGTATTTTTTATGAATCTTTTTCTTCACGATTTATGATTTTTAATTCTTATTTAAGAAGTTCTCAGATGGCCACAGTTGTTCATGCCTGTAATCCCAGCACTTTTGGAAGCCAAAGCAAGAGGATCACTTGAGGCTAGGAGTTCGAGACCAGCCTGGGCAACATAGCAAGATCTCATCTCTACCAAAAATATCAAAAAAAATTAGCCAGGTATTGTGGCATACACCTATAGTTCCAGGTACTCGGGAGGCTGAGATAGAAGGATCACCTGAGACCAGAAGGTCATGGCTGCGGTGAACCATGTTCGTGCCACTGCAGTCCAGCCTGGGTAACAGAGTAAGATTTTGATTCAAAAAAAAGGAAAAATTATTTCATATCTTATGCCACTAGGGACTCTTCCACCCGTGGTTATAGCATATAGCCCTGACAAACTTTTCCAAAAGATATCTGAAACTCAGCACAGTGGTAAAGGTAACAGAGAGCAGCCCAGTTTTAGAGAACATTTTCAGAAATGGCTAGAGAGAAAGAATATGAGAGAGAGAGAGATAGTGAATACAAATGTCATACCACATATGCAATTTTATATCCTATTTTTCACTAATATCATTTCAGATAATTTTACATCATGAAAATAGTCAAAGCTCAGCTTTAATGAATATTGCGTAAGATGGGTAAATCATAATGTATTTTATACCTTTTCGTTGAACATTTTGCAGTTATAAGTAAAGACCTCAGGAAACAACTTCATTTATAAATCTTTGGGATGCTTTCTTTATTTCTTTGAGACAGATTCATAGAGGTAGTGTTACTTGGTTAACATGTACTCTTGATATCATTAAAAGTAATAAGCAATTGAAAATAACTGGTCACATGAACTTTAAGTAAGTTGACTTTCTGGGCAACACTTGCTGCAGCTTACTTGGTTCTTTACAAAGGTAGGCAGTATTTAAAAGTATCCAGCCTACTTGATCTTACATAAAGCTTAACCTTAATGATGTCCACGCTTGGTGTGTAGCATAAATCATGTAGTAGTTATATATAATTTTACCCTCTCCGGTATCTCAGATGATTTGAAATATACTTAGTTTGAGGGAGAATGTAATGATATTTTAATTTGATGCTCTTAATAATATTTGAAAATGGTTAACAGAGTACATATTTAGCGTCTTAAGCTGACCTAGTCCCTTAGTATAATTAAAAAGTCAGACTCAGTGACCCTGCAAGGCATTGGTATATGTAAAATACTTTGTCATTATTAAAACAATTCTTCTTGAGGAAAGATACACAATTTAATTAAGGGATGTAATAAATCGTCTTCTGTCTCGTTGTCATTGGTGCTAATACTTGATCTTGTAACTCTGCCCTGTCCACAGGTTAAAGTATTACACAATCAGCTGGTCCTTTTCCACAATGCCATTGCTGCATACTTTGCCGGCAATCAGAAGCAGCTTGAACAGACACTTAAACAGTTCCATATCAAATTGAAAACCCCTGGAGTGGATGCCCCGTCTTGGCTTGAAGAACAGTAGAATTACACCTGGAGAAAAAAAGAAGTCACATTGTTATATTTCTAAACAAACCTAATCAGAATGAAACAGAGTTGGGGGAAGTGGGGAGGGTGACACCCATTGTAGTGATTACTGCACAAACAGCTTTAATTTTTCCCTTTTTCATACTTTAACAATTGAACTATTAAATTTGGTGGGAAGATGGGTGATTTTAATGTAAACATAGTTTCTATAATATGAACATGATAATTTTCCTTTTTGAGAAATCCTTTTGTATTGTGAGGGTTGACAGCTATTTCTGTAGTCTGAAAACATCTAATATAGATTTGCACTGACAAGATAACAACTTAAGGCTTTCGGTCCTGGAACTGAGGGCCAGCTGTAACTTTTCCAAAGGGAGGTTTACATGATTTGTATCAACATCAGATATTTTATATATGAATATATTAAACATCTTTAAGAGATTCATTTTCATGTATTGTCTTAAAGAAAAACTATTTTGCAGAGTAAAATTATATGGTGTCTGCAGCATCCACACAGAAGCAGCAGCTCTAAAGAATGACTGGTTTACTTGTGGAGTTGTGGCAAACCCCTTTTTAAAATGAATCTGTACCATTATAATTTTGTTTAGGCTTTTTTTTTTTTTAAAGACACAGGAATCATGCTGTTGTTTCTGTGAGGCTTTTTAAGTTTATGAATTTGCATCACCCAAAGTCATTAGGCGGTTGTCTGCAATTTCTTTTGATTCATAATGAAACCTGCTTAAGAGAATTTTTTTTTTGATAAGTGGACTTGGGAATGGAAATTCTTGATGGTTTCTAGAGTAGAAATCTGTACTTAGGAAGCTAGTTTTGGAATAAATTCCATTTTGATAGAAGAGAATACCTTAGACAGTTTTTATTGACTTCCATATGTACCAATACCGTTTAAGCCTTAAATCACAGATATGTGCCTTCTCAGATACAGTCATTCTTGTTCAACTAATGTATATAATTCATGAAGAAACCCTTTGGAAACATTTGAGGTGTCTGTTCCTTCCTTGGAAAGGAGCACCGTGTATAAATGTTGGGTTTCTTTGTACTTGTTAAACCACATTTGAGATTTATGGTAAAAATCTTCTTTTCAGTTTGTGGTTTGGTTTTTCTTGATTCCTTTTGAGGAATGGGAAGAGAAGGACTTTTTCATCCGGGTAATGAGAAGGTTATTGGGGCGGTGTGGCGCGGTACAAGGGGGAAGGAAGACAGGAAGGGCCAGTACTGTCTGTTTGCTCCACACCGCTGGGTTTGTGTGATGGTGTTGCGCTGTCCACTGTGTGGTGTGTCAGTAATGTAATCTTTTTTAAGTGTAAAGTTCTTTTGCTTTTTGTCATAGACATAAATTAATATTTTGAGAGATATTGCCTCACCTGTTCATTTCTGTGTTGAAATGAAGTACTTAAAATTACCGTTATACAGGAACTTTGTGAACTGTAAGATTTGTTATATATGTTCAAATGCCTTTTAGCTGGCTTTTTAATTAATATGCCTGTTCTGAGTGCTTAATACAATGTAATGTGATTGTAAATCATAAGCCTATTTTAAATCATTCCTTCCTGTATATTTGTACTCTCAGAGAGCCTTATTTTATTCTTCCAGCAGAATTACTACTTGTGATAGTTCATTTACATTCCCCAGAATGTGCCTCTGGTGTGAATTTTGTATTCTTATTAAAAGTGTTTGCTGCAAAACATTGTTTCTCTGGCCTGTCATAATTTAAAATAAGAAGTAACGATTTGGAAATTCTGAAGACATATCATTTGTCTTTTTTGAACTTTAAAAACAAACCAACAAAATGGTGCTTCTGCCCCTTATAATTTGCTTTAGCTCAGTAAGTTGTTTTTTTCCCCCTCAATCTGAATCTCTTGAGAACTGAACACGTCCATTTCACCATATTTCAATAACAATTGTAGTAGCTAAGAAGCTAAATAGTTTCATGGATTAATTTGTCAAGGTAAATTTAAAATATTGGTGACTGAGTAGTGGGTACATGTGCAAAAAAAATAAGTAAATAAACATATTAGCTAATGGTATGTTTACTTTGTTAGTAAAGTCATTTATGTTTATTGTAGTAAAGAATTAGAAGAAAATTTCAAATAATGGGAGATAATAATACTTTCCCAAGTGACTAAGTACTGCATGAAACCACGAAACTTCCCTGAAGTTGGATATTTTTGTTACCAATTTTAATTTTATAAGCTCTGTTTTGGATATCTTAACATAATACGCAAAAAATTTTTGCACTCTTACCTACTAATTCCCTTAAGTTATATTCCTAGAAGTGAAAACAGGCCCTCAGAGTATATACGGACTTTTAAGACTTTATAATCAATTGCCTATTTCCTTTCAAGAGAGTGCCAGTTTACACCTCTCAGAGCCATGCACGTGTGCCTATTGAGTATAGTATATTTGTTAAGCTGGTGCCATACACATACAATGAAATAATGCATCGAATCTGTAGGACGTTAGTTTATACATGCTTTGGGTGGAAAGGGGAAAACAGGAAGGTAAAAGTTGAGAAGACAGGATTTGGGGAGTCTGTGGGGTGTGAGAGCAGGGGATGGATGGAAATGGCTAACTTTTGTCTCATTAAAATAGAAATTATTCAATAAAAAATGCACAGAAGAACTGTTCTGTGAAAATAAAGACTCTTCTTTTCAAACCTTCCAAATTTTAAGGTGATTGTAAATCATAAGCCTATTTTAAATCAGAAGGACCTAGGCTTGCAAAAGCAATTTAGCTGAAAACTAGACTTTAAGAACTATCTTTTCCATATTCAAAACACATTGATAATGTTACTGAAGCTTATCCTATAGTGTGTGAAGCTAGAAGGTTACTTGGAGATTATGTAACATGCTTTTTTTATTACAGATGAAGCTACCAAGACTTCAAGATATATTCAACTAACTTAGCCAACCCCCATCCCCAAATGTAATGCCAGATGTGTGTTTGCAACTACATACGTGAATTCCCCCTTTAAATCCTTCCATTTCAACAGCATAATTAAATCAACGTGTCAAAATTGTCAAGTTCTAAAGTTGAGTACAATGTGTATTAAATGTCTTCTTAATTTAAAAAAAAAAAAAATCTATCCACGCCCCCCAAATGGATTCATGTTAGGTACATTGCAAAGCATATAACGTATTTATCCTTTCTATCCACTGATCTTTAACTTGCAGTACTGGATTCTGCAAAACAATTATGTGAGCCTGCCAAATGTTATATAAAGTAAAACTATGTATATTGAAAACACGAGTGATAAATTTCTTCTAATCATGGGACTCCATTGAAAGAACATTGTATCTACCTCAAAATGGGCCCAGTCTCCTTTATTTTCACTGGAGGTGACCATAGATGTGAAAAATAAAAACAAGTTGTCTAAGTTGCTAGCTCAGTGCAACATTTATGTATAATTTATGCTAATTTTTCATGAAGTACTACTTAAATACTTGGACTCTGTTGTAATCCTAAATTATTTTGCCAGTGCCAGTAACTTTATTTTTTTAACTTTCAGTTGCCTGGGATAGTTAGAAATCACCTGAAATCCTTCATCACTCAATTCTTAAATAAATTTAGACATTTGAAAAAATCCAGTTCCTCCTTAAAATTACGTATTTTTGTGTTGGCTAAGAATCCAGTTGTGAGTAGGCTATTTCCTGATTTTAAAAAGCCAGTTATATTTCGCATAAGTTCAAAGCTTTTTCAAGGTCACAGTTCCTTTACTATTTTTACAATATGGCAAGTCCTAAATAGGAGGATAATGCAAACATCTTTCTCTTTTGGGACCTTTCATTAACTTCTGTTCTCTGTTCCCACTTGAAGGCTTCCTGCTCAACAAGTTTCTTGGCATAGATGGGCCTTTATAACGTATTGCCAAGTGGTCCTCTGAATGTACAGGAAACTATAAAATTCAGCTTTGTTTTGTGAAATGAAAGTGGACTCTTAGTAGTTTATTATGTTAAGTGTGAACTGTTTTTCAGTCTAGTGTTAACACTGATGTGGAAAAACGAGACCATCGATCTGAGGAGGGGAAATTAGACCCAGTCTGAGGACCATAAGTCTATTTCTGTGCAGTTAATTGATGAATACGCTATCAGAACTGAGAATTCCAACGACATATTTACAAGGGACGCTGTTCCACAGAAACCAAAACCACAGTTTGTTTTGTTTGGCCCTAAGCTTGACTTTGCGGTAAACATACTTGGTCAAAGATCGTGAGCTTTCTGTGCGTTGAGTTTGCCATGAACAGAAGGAAGATGTAAGAGGAACAAGATGCCCATCGTTTATCTTGAAATACCTATCCATGGCTTAGATTTTCATATCACTTTACTTTTGGTGCAGGTGTATGTGTTCATGTAAACAACTCAGGAGTGTAACAACTACCTGGCGTGGGGCACATAGTAAGAAATATACATCTTCACTATATCTTGAAGCTTTGGTCACCGAAGTTCTACTAAAGAAAAAAACAGGCCGGGCGTGATGGCTCACACTTATAATCCCAGCACTTTGGGAGGCCGAGGTGAGAGGACTGTCAGACCAGGGGTTTGAGACCAGCCTGGGCAACTTGGTGAGACCTCATCTCTACAATAAATCCAAAAAAAAAAAATTAGCCAGGCCAGGCGTGGTGGTGCACACCTATAGTTCTAGCTACTTGGAAGGCTGAGGTGAAAGGATCGCCTGAGCCCAGCAGGTCAGGGCTGCAATAGTAGTGAGCATGCTACTGCACTCCAGCCCGGGCAACAGAGTGAGACTCCGACTCAAGAATAAAATGATCAATGTAAACTTTTTTTTTCAAATGAAGGCATTATGGAGTAGGAAGAGAGAAGGTAACTTGTTGGCCTTCCTGAAAAGTTAAAATTATAGCCAGGTGAGATGGCGCACATCTTGAATACCAGTTACTTAGGAGGCTGAGGTGGGAGGATTGATTGAGCCCAGGACTACAGCCTGGGCAACAGAGCAAGACCTTGTCTCTTTAAAAATAATAATAAGTTTTTAGAATAATGAATAAACTACTCAAGATAATTTATATATGCTATTTAACCTTTATTCCCCCCAAATGATTTCTGATTCTACATTAGGAAGCATTTTATGAAAAACTGCCCAAAGTTTTAGGCAGATAATGATAATTCTTTCCTTTGAGGGATTTCTACTTATGGCTAGACACTAAGCTCTTGAGAAAGGCACAGTGTAGGCTGTTTTGCTCACCCTGTATTCCTAACTCCTTGCATATTTCTTAATTCAAAGGAACCATGTATAAAGATGGGTTCAGTCTTTAATCCAAAATTTAACTGCAGAAAAGTATTCAATGGTTGTCTGCTGTTTCGTTTTAATGAGTTGCAAAGGAGGCTGTTCACTCACAACTTACTCTAAATTAATGTGGTGTCATTACCTAAGACACGAGAATGTTTACAGAAGAATGGCCAGTTAAAAAATTTTGAAAGAGGCTGGGCGTAGTGGCTCATGCTTGTAATCCCAGCACTTTGGGAGGCTGAGGCAGGTGAATTGCTTGAGCCCAGGAATTCAAGACTAGCCTGAGCAGCATGGTGAGACCTTGTCTCTACAAAAAAATCAAAAAATTAGCCGGGCATGGTGGCATATGCCTGTAGTCCCAGCTACTCTGGAGGCTGAGGTGGAAGGATTGCCTGAGCCCAGGAGTCACTGCACTCCAGCCTAGGTGACACAGTGAGACACTGACAAAAAAAAAAAAAATGCTGAAAGACTGGCAGAATTAGAAAAATTACCATGTTACAGCTTTCACTAAAGTAACTGAATCCACAGGGATCACCATGGATGCTAAAATACTTAAGTGAAAGATTGAAAGAAAACATTTCCTTAATACCAAAATGTCACCCTTACATGTTGCTCCATTTGAACTAGGGAAAAGTACCATTAATAAGAGATTTGTGCTCACCATCTAACAAATTTAGCATCACTAATAACCTAGTAAGTGTGTGCCTTATGTAATATAAATCATGTATCACTTCAATTTCTGCTGGAATTGTTCAACCTAAATCTAATAAAATCTTTTGCCTTAAATTTTAAAGTACAGAAAATACAGGGAATTAGGGAACAAATTAAATGGTAACAGGAAGAATCAGTTGCACAAATCAAGAATCTGAGACATCCTACAAGATAATTTGATCCCTTCAAAAAGTCTGTCACACACAAAAATAGAAATACTGTTATAAAATAAAAGACTTGAGGTCATAATTCAAAAAATTAATTATAGAAGACATCTGAGGGACAACTGAATAATTTCAGTGTGTATTTGATGCTACTAGGGACTCTTGGATAATTTTGAGAGTATGATGTTATATCGTGGTAACGTAGAGGAACAGCTTTATTAAGAGTGTATGCCTAGAGTATTTGAAGCCAGAGTGCTTACTTTTAAATGATTAAAGAAATATGCATTCACACAGACATATATGGAGATAAAGCTGGAAGAAAGAAAAAGGAGAGAAAGATGTCCTCAAGTAAATATGACTGAATGTTAGCAATTGTTGAAATAGGCGGGTAGATATGTAGGGTTTCATAGTACTAGTCTTTTAACTTTTTTTAAAAAATTCATAATAAAAATTTAATTTAGAAAGGGCAGGGGTTGGTCCTGAAAAGCAATAGGAGCCTATAAAATCTTTCCTCTTCCATCAAGGTAGCAATCAGAGTTTTCTTATTATAGACAGTGACACCACTT